TTTCATCGTTAAATTTAAACATGTAGATAAGATGGATGGGAGCCACTCACAAGGGGTTGTGACTTCTTCAACAAACCAAATAGTATACAAGTTTGAAGCAACTTTAACCTTGGAAATTCTGTGATCATTCCTTTGAGTAATATAGTTAGTTAATAAGTGAATGCACACATGTGTGTGAAATGTGGTCGATTGTTAGATGGATCTGGACGATGAGGATTAAAAATTTGCGTGTAATTTTACCCGTTAGGTTGCAAAAATGAATCTCATTTGTTCCTTACCTTTTTGTTTTGCTTGTTACCAATATTGAGCTTTAGCGCTTTTTTGGGGCCTTAAGGGCGGCCCATACACATGTATTATTTTTCCCTTTAAAGAAAGTGACCAAATGCTTTCACTGGTCCAAAAAGTGAAACAAAATCATATATATAAGCAGCCAATAAAAATGGATGTCCATGTTGGACAATATAACAGGTCTCAACCACACATGAAGCGTGGTAGATCAATAAATTCCAAAGATGAAAAATCCCCGAACACGGAAGGGAGCTAAGAATAAATATGATTTGAACGAGGATATAGAAAATCTAAAAGAGTCTTCAGACATAAAAAATATTTTACCTTTAGAAGAGACTGAACAAGTACCTAAAATTCATGCAAATAAAGATATCTTGATAAATTGCGTCCATAATTGAATAAAACGGAACTGACACGAAGTCGATATTGACGATATTTTTGCATACAATACAACGTTAAATGTGATAAATAACAAAAAAAATCGTGAATCAACGTTTATTAAAATTTATAGACAAAGCGGAGGTTAACCAAATGAAAAGAGACAATTGAAGTATAATTCAACTCATTTTGCAAGAGACAAATTTAGACACATGTAATATAATCGTCTCAAAGAATACTTACTAAAGGAGGGATTTAGAGATAACTCAATATTATATTTTTATGAAAAGGTGTTAAAATAATTTTTTTTATGATAGTTGTCTACGCGGATTAGAATTTTTTTTTAAAGTAGCAATGTATTAATTTTTATTTACCAAACAAATTAACATTTCAAAAAAAATACCAAAATGACAATGTTTGGAAAACCATCAACAGACGTTCGCCAATTGGTTTGGCGAATTAGGCTAACAGCATCACAAGTGATTCGCCATTTGGTTTGGCGAAAGGGAGTATTTTGTGGGATTTCGCCAATTGAATTGGCGAATGAGAGTTATTTTAGGGTTTGTTGCATTTTCAATTTCCTTTTAATTATTATATAACATATTTTCGTTTTCATATTTTAAAATTTAATTATTTTTTAATTTTAATTATTATTATTATTATTATTAACCATAAAATATATTAATTTATAATGTAATGAATATTAATATAATTAAAATATATTCGTAAACATAAAGTCATAATAAAATAAAATTATATTAATTTATAATGTAATTAAAAATACACGAACAAACCAATTGGCGACAGAGTGTATTTTGTGACCATTCGCCACACCAATTGGCGAATTGGTTATTAGGGTTTTCGTTTTCATACTTTTTTGATTTAAGTTATTATTATTATTAACCATAAAAAATATAAATTTATAATCTAATTAATATTTATATAATTAATATTAATATTAATTTATAATATAATTTTTAATGTCATCTATAATATTAAAAAAATTAAGTTTAAAAGTTTAAATTATTTTATGAAATTATAAATTTAAAGTAAATTGGGTTGCTTGTTAAATCGCCCAACTAGGGTTTTAAACTTTCCATATATATTTTTGGGGTGACATTCATCAATGGATGTTTTTAATTTGTTGTTATGTTTGTTTAATTTATGAAAGTTAACTCTGCTTGTAATAGAAGGAAATTTGCAGTTACCTCTGCCTGTAATAGCATGAAATTTGATTTTAATCAAATGAAAGTTACTTTTGATTTAAATGAACACGTTTACAAATGAAACTATGATCTGCTGCTCGGACCAACGTTTGGACACGTCGTACGATTGTGTCCTGGTTGCCGACACGAACTACACAATCTCACTAGCTTATCCGAGGTATCCATCTCGGTTCGTATGCGCGTGCTGTTAGGCCGACCCTTCTTTTTTCTGCGCATCAAGTCATTATGCCAAACAATTTGGCCTTCGTATTCGGGCCAATAGTCCTCCTTTGCCAACACCTGAAAACTGCATGAGTAGACATTGCATAGACTTATGACTTGGTGAACTGAAGAAAGAAGGTTGGTTGGGTCCTGGCGCGCCTTCGAACAAGCTGCTATGACATGAGAGCAAGGCATTCGGAATGCTTGAAACTTTCCACAATCACACCAGCTCTTATCTAATTCAACACGATAACATCCCCTGGGCCTTCCTTCATTGTGATCTATAGCCTCGGCAACACTGAACCAACCAGCTGTACGGTCAAATATTGTGACCACGTGGGTGTTGGCTTTGGCAGCTTCGTCTTTCATGAATTTCATTGCAGTGTCACTGTACAGCTGACCCGATTGTAATACCGAACCCCACTTCGCACGCCTGCTATCAAAAAGTGATCCCATCCTAAAATAGGTTGCCTTTACCAACGCAGTTATTGGGAGGTTTCGAATTCCCTTGAAAACAGAATTCATGGACACAATGTTGTTTTGTACGAAACTCGTCGCCCTCTTTAAGTTGGCCCCGTGTTGTGTAGTTGGGGATGTAGAAAACATCCGTTGGGGGTTCATCATCAACTAAGGTGATATCAGTCATGTGATTTGGTGGACAATAGACATGCTCAGGTTGAACTTCAACCTCAGGATTGATCACCATCTCGTCAACAATGACCTCAGGTGCTTCTTCTTCTTCGTCCACAACAATGGTCGAGGATGCCACTACTTGCTCCAATAAACAGAAATTCTTTTACTTTCCCCTACGCAAAAAAGTAAGTATCTTTTCAACATTATTTGCCAGCTACGTATTCTATTTCAGTTAATACTTTATAACTTGTGTTTGTTTTTTTAGGTGGTCTGTACCCGGGATGAATTATGAGAAATGTCCAAGGCACTCTATAATTCAATACCGCAACCTAATCGACCACCTTGGGCCAAACGATGTAACCTATTTACCCTAATTTTCTTTAATGTATATGCATAAACTTCAGACATCCTGTCTAACTAAATTTTATAACTATATTGTAGTTTGTCTGGATGCCGTACGAGGGTCTCGACCACCAGCCCAACCCCGACGATGCCGCTGTGTGGACAGCAAAGACACCTATAATTAGGTTCACTACGGTGGAGATGCACCAAAGTGATCGGGTCAAACTCCAATTTGGGATGCATCAAGATATTCCAGATGCTCCCGTAGACTTAGGGAAGTGGCATCAAAAACGGGTGGACGCACAGTGGATGATTGGTGATTGGAAGGAGTTTGCGAAGGAGTTGCGTGTACTTTGGAAAAGAAGAAGGCAATACGTCTTAACCGACAGTATTGTGCACGGGGCTAGGCCAAGTCTTCAATATATGACTTGGTTTAGTTCTGTCACGACAACCCAGCCTTTCCTGTCCCAGCCAACCTACTTGTCCGATCCAAGGGAACGCGGTTCTTCATCATACCCACAAATACCAACAGACACCCCCATCAACAACAACCACCGTACGAAGACCATCAACAACAACCACCATACGAAGACACCCCCCACTCCATGCCAACATATACCCCCTATCAACAACAACCACCTTACATGCCACCAATCCAATCTCAGTCTCAACCAACTCACCAGTACAGCCCTGATATGTCTTTTGATCCTACCCCTGCCACCTATATCCCGGAAAACTCATTCGACCCTACCCCCTCCAACTACACCTCCAACCACCCACTATTTAACTACCACACACCACAACAACCAACACACCTAGACCAACCCAACTCCATGTACACTTTCGGACAACCATACCGTCCATACTCCACCCACCCTCCCCGACAATCGTACCAAAACATGGGCATTGCCCTTGACTACGGAAGTGCATGTGACATGGGACCTCCCGGCTATTGGGGTCAAATGATACAAGATCTAGCTGATACGCCGGGGCCGTCCCAACAGAACCCTCCACCACAACTCAACACACAACATCCTGACACACCACAACAACATCGTCGAAGATCTCGTCGCAACACGCGTCCCCCACAGTGTGGCACCGGTGGTCACTTGGATAGAGCCGATCATTAGGTTTTTTTTTTGTAATTTTCATTATATTTATATTTTTGTTCGTGTATTTTTAATTACATTATAAATTAATATAATTTTATTTTATTATCACTTTATGTTTACGAATATATTTTAATTATATTAATATTCATTACATTATAAATTAATATATTTTATGGTTAATAATAATAATAATAATAATTAAAATTAAAAAATAATTAATTTTTAAAATATGAAAACGAAAATATGTTATATAATAATTAAAAGGAAATTGAAAATGCAACAAACCCTAAAATAACTCTCATTCGCCAATTCAATTGGCGAAATCCCACAAAATACTCCCTTTCGCCAAACCAAATGGCGAATCACTTGTGATGCTGTTAGCCTAATTCGCCAAACCAATTGGCGAACGTCTGTTGATGGTTTTCCAAACATTGCCATTTTAGTATTTTTTTTGAAATGTTAATTTGTTTGGTAAATAAAAATTAATACATTGCTACTTTAAAAAAAAATTCCGCGGATTATCCACATAAATATTTTTAACACATTTCCCATTTTCCTATAACCTGATGCTATTATTATTGGAAAGAGTTATTAGTGGTTTTATTTTTTTACTCATGAAATGAAATAATGAAATTATTAAAGCTACTAGTCGATGAATTAAATTCCCTCCAAAATATTTGAGAGTGTTTGTTTTCCCTCTCGTCTTCTTCTCCAAAATCAATCAACACCTCGAAAACCAAAACCAAAACCAAAACCCTAACCCTCTTTTTTCCTATCTTCTGCGTTGCGAAATCACCGCAATAGCATTTGTACTATCACCATGTCAAGTCAGGAAGACGACCTCGATCTTCTCCTTTCTCTTCAAGACAAAGTTCCCGAAACCCCTCCTGCTTCTCCTTCACCGCGTAATCCTCTCTTCACTTTCATTCATTCATCTTCAGATTATGTCTTTAACCTAACATCAATCCATTCTTATAATTGCAGTTGATTTTGAGGGTGATGACGATGTTGTACCGCGGAGGGAGAGACCTGATATGTCCGTTTTCAAAGATGCAGTTCAGGATTGCCTTCTCGACCAACCCTCTAACCCTAATCCTAAACCTAAACCAAACAACAAATCGCTTGGCGACGATCCCCAACTTGACAAGTTCTCGGGTCTTCGCATAAGGTTTCTTATTGCAATCTCAATAAATTCATATTGAATTGCTTTGCTTTGTATATGTTTATAATTTTGTTTTGATGTGTCAGGGACCAATGTTTAACACCGGCTGAGCTTAGGGAATCTGTTCAAGACATTCGTTTTGTTCGCCTACCGGTCATCAAGTAATCTTCTCTACCGCATTTTTACAGTTATTACTTGTTTCTGTATAGTTTTCAATCTTCTTTGTAGTTATAGTTTGCCTTCAAAACTAATTTGGGCTAATTAACATGCTTGTTGCAATGCAATATTATTCACTTTTGCTTCTTAGATATGAGTTTATGTACATTATTGTTGAATATTAGTTCAATTAAGTTTGAAGTAATAGCCCCAAGGGTTGGTATAGTGGTGAAGGCTTGAGTTCTGAGAGTGTGTTTCTCTCAAGGTCTTAGACTTGAATTAGGCTAGGTGCAAACAATTCTTGTATTGAGCCAAGTCCACACATAGCTTTGCTTTGGCTTTAAACAGGTCCCCACGAGTGGATGGTGGGATAAGTCCCCTTAGATTAGTCGGTCGCAAGGCCGGATACCAAGATTTAAATAATAATGTTTGAAGTAATAAGTCTCAAATTTGATAAGTTCAGAATGTTCTATTGTGAGTTATAAATGTTCAGTTGGTGAGATTAACATGTTTCGTGAGGCTTGACTCTGATAGTATGTTATGGAAAATAGTTAAGTTACAGTTTGTTATTCAGTTCCAACTGTTTTGTACCAGCTTAGAGACAATATGTTAAGCCTTAGGAAATAGAATTGAGAGAGAAATGTTCATCACCACATTGACACATTCATAACACTTGGAGAAAATCAGAAAAATTAAGAAAAACTGTGCATGATTTCTCAAGTGTATAATTTTTTCATTCACAGTGGATCATTCAAGTCGGTTTATGTCCCCTCCAGGTGTAGGAGTTCATCTATGAACCGGGTAGCCAAATTTTGTGTTCTTACAATTATTTTTTCACATTTCTTGCATTTCAAGCACTCAATTGGTTTTCAATCACTTGATCTGCATTAGTATTGCTCTTCATCAAGATTAAACTCAGTTTCTTCTGTGAGTCACAATCCTGACAATTATGGACCTTGTTTATCAATCGTGTATATTCAGGAATTTGGTGAATGGGGATACTTTCTCTGGAAATTGGGTAACTGTTGGAGTGTTGACTGAGAAGGGGATTCAGAAAACAAGTTCAAATGGGAAGAGCTTTTGTATATGGAAAATTGGGTGTTTAGATGAAAATACCATTCCTATTTTCTTGTTTGGAAATGCTTATCAGAGGAATTGCCAAGAGCAGGCAGGAACAGTCTTTGCATTCTTCAATTGTGGTGTTCGCAAGGATGCCAAGGTATCTAATTGTTGGGACTTGGTTAGATTTTTTCAATCAAAATTTTCCATGAGTTCTGCAATCTCTTTTATATTGTTTTTGCAGGGTAATGGTTTTTCTTTGAGTATATACTCCCCTAGCCAAATTGTGAAGATGGGCACCTCTGTAGATTATGGAGTTTGCAAAGCGAAAAGAGCGGATGGGATGGCATGTACAATGGCCATAAATAAGTATGCAAATAAATTATGTATCTACTATGTTGTTATTTGTTTTGATTTGTTAAATGTGGAATTGCCACAGGATTCTTTGTTAACTGTGTCTCTGAACCTAATCATCATATATGCAATTTAGAAAAGGAGTAAGAGGACCAATCACACTCTTTTCTCTTTTTCTACAGACACTTCTATAGATAGATTATCCGTTTGCTGAAATAAATCTGATCTAAACATGTGGAATTTGACACTGGTTGGATTCGTAGTTTTAAATCAGAGTGCTCACATTTGTTCTGACACTTTTCTGTGAAAAATAAAACAAAAGAGGAGCAAATGTGAAAGGAATTTATGTATTCATAGCCATTCAATAGCTAGATATACCTATTGTCATTTCAAGGGAAAAGAAGAAAAATTTATACCGCACAAGGTGTTGTTTCAAAATGTGTACTGTATAAGTTGCAAGACACATTTGAGGAAAAAGATTCCCATGAGTTCAGTTCAGTTGAGAAAATTGAGTGCAGACTAGGTGAATCAATAATAGTTTAGATTTTTATGAAGTACACACAGTTAGACAGCAATCTATGAATCAGAATCTACTTCGCATGATTCACATTTGCTACTCACAAGCACTGTCAGCAGTAACATGAATCCACTTGCTTGTAATACTTGGATTCTTGTTAAGCAGTTTTTTAAGAGTGTGACATGTTTTATAATAGATTTAAAACTTTCTGGAAAACTAGAAGTCTTATATTGGTCATTTTTATACAAACAAAAATTAAACTTTCTAATGGAAAGCTCAATCTTGTTTTTAGGGTCCAGTTTAAAAGAATATAAAAAGCATGATATCCATATTTATATTTGTTATATTATTTTATTAAATTTCATTGACGTCCCCTAATTATTATTCTGTTTGTTTCTCCAGACTCCAACTAATACTTTTCCATGTTTATTTTCCTTCTTACAATATGATACTGGTATTTTTCAAACTCTGAATGATTCACTTCATAACCATTAATCTTTGATATTTCAGGCGTCAGGGGGCTTATTGTAAATATCATAAATCAGTAAGTAGCATTTGGTTAGTTCATGTTTTCTGTTAGTATTTTCTATTAGTATTCTTTGATATTAATTCCGTACCTTATTATTTATGGCAGAAAACATCAGAGAAATATTCCACCGGAAGAACTGAACTCAAAGGAGGGTGAGTGTTTATCTCTTTCTAGTTCTCATATAAATGTGCTCAACTTGTTTGGTTTCATATGACATGTGGATGAGACATAAACATGTGGTTCTTGTAAGCAGAAACTTAAGGTCGGCATTTAGGCCTAGAGATTATATCAAGTCAGAAGGAATATACTTGGTTGACCCCCTCGCTGACAAAACAAACTTGAAGAAGTCTAAGCCAGTGAAATTGTTATCCGTCGATAGTCTCAGAAAGGCATTGAGGTTTGTCAAAAATGAGTTTATTGTTTTCTCTACTTGAATTCTTTCTCCGCAAATATTAATATTTTAATTTCGATACCAGCAATGCAGGAAAAGTAACAACAACTTCACACTCACAAGGGATTAGATTTCTTTCGGAGGTTGCAGGTGATCAGATCATTTTGTAAATTTAATGGCATTAACACATGTATTCATGTATAATGTATTCTTATCTTGCTTTTATCCTTTGACAATTTTGCAGGTAAATTTGATCCAAACATGATGAAAAAAGGATCAAAGATTCCAAACGAACGCAGTAAACAAACAGAGAAGAGGTGAGTTGCCAAAGTGGTTCTAGGTTAAAATTACTTACATCTTATCCATGTTACTTATAAAGGCTTAATATACCGGTTACACGTTCTTTATTATATTCAGGAAGTCATCTTCTGTGACTACCGGACACTCTACTGTCATAAGAAACCAACAGTCAGATATAAAAAGGGTAAAAACAGAGGGGCAAAGTTCTGTTGATAAAACCACAAAGAATGCTATAAATATGATTGACTTAGATCTTGTTAGTTCGGATGACGACTTCTGAAATTTGTCTGTTGCTCCGCTTGATTTTGCTGTTTAGTGGGCAAAAATGAACTTTGAAGATTCACTTGGAAGATTAATTTCTTGTGCAAATATGCCAAAGTTCTGCACAAAATTTAGTTCACCCAGTTATCTACATTATTGTTACAAATTTGGGTTAAACTAAATGAGGTAAAGCCTATCTGAGTTGACCAACTCCTTTCATAAGAGAAATTCAGTATTCATCTCTGAATATTTTGTTCAGACTGGTGGGTTGGTGCTCAACGACTTATTATTTAAAATAGTTGGATGTAATTTTTTTCTTCAATTTGATAGCTGAGATGTGCTGTCTACAACCTGTGATCCATAAACTGTCTTTTTTTCTGGTTCAATTTCTAAATGGACAGAAGCTCCATGTCAATGTAATTATTGTTTTTTGAATCTTGTTTGTGTATAATTAATGGTTGAATATGTTGAAAACATTCCACATTCTTTTTGCCAGAAGAATTCAAAACCATACAAGACTAAATATCCCATCAACTGGAAAAAAATGAATCCCAGAAATTAATTAGTTGTCAACAAGAAGACTTAGAGAATGCACGGCTCTGCATTGATCACACTATGTTATTGAATGAGATGTGAGGCATATCTTGTTCTTTACTTGCCAATTGCCTCTATATATACACTATCAATAAAACACGTGACCACTTAAGTTGGGTTGTCTAAGTACATAATATTCAATTTTTCTCAGTAAATTGAATCAACTTGTTACTCAGACTAGTCGTTCAACTTCAATTTTACTTTCTTCTCGCTCTCTTAACAAAATGTATTTGGTACCAAAATGTGTGTACCCATTTCATGTGCCAACATGACTGTAGCCTTTCCTAGCATGAATCATATCCTGTTATGATTCTTTTATCAGTTTGGTCTCCACGGCAATGACAATCTTAATACCCTTCCATTTTAGCATGATTTGAAATCCTTGAAGCAATAAACCATAATTAAGTAGTCAATTTATGTAACCTTGCATTTGATGCAACAACCATCCTTTAATGCTTGCTAATCTTACTACTCAAATTCTAATATAATTATTATTTTATAGATCAAATGCCTTTTTTTTTTTTTTTTTTTTTTTTTTTTTTTTTTTTTTACCTTTATAGCTGTTTGGGCTTTTTAGTTTGGGGATTTTTTATCCCACACTATATAGTAGAAAGACATCCTATAAAAAATTCAAAATATTCATCAGATTTTGGAGATACATATTCGAATGTACTCTTATCTTAAGTCAAAATGTTACAATTGATTCGGAGATGTATCATCGAAATATTTCAAAATACACCCCATGCATTGCATTGAGCCACACCAACATAATTTGTGAACACGAATCCAGAGATGCATCTTTGAAATATTTCAAAACACATCCCATGCATCCTCTATGGAAGACCCATTTTAAATATTTATTAATTCGGAGATATATCTCTGTTTAGGGTTTACGGAGATGTATCTCGGTAACCAGTAAAAATAGTACAAGTTAAATTAGTTTTATGGTTATTCAGATGAAAATGACGATTTATAAATGCCAAGATCTCTGTTTTGCGACGAGCATTAAACCATACAACCAATATGCAAAAAATGACATATACAAATCTGGAGTAAAAAAAGTCACCATGACATATATAATAAAGTCGAAATATACAATGAAGTCGAAATAAGAAAAAATAAAATACAACATAACATAAATCCAAACTACAAATACTATCAACTATCGCGTATGCCAAACTCGAGCTCATCGGGCTCCTCGACCTCCTTTGCCCCGGTGCTCCGACACTATCTCCAGTACATCAGTGTCTCTCGTGCCTTAATCATAATGGCACCTAGGACCTCCCTCACTTCAGAACCATAAGGAAAGTTACATTTGTCAATACCTGCCTGCGCAATCTCCATAATACGACGACATCTAGGAAATATATCATGAGCATGATCTAACTTAGTCTGCTTCTCCTCTAGTATATTTTGATGAGTTGACCTCGATAGATCTTCTAGAGCATCCTGCACCATATACAGATGTGGCACCCTGAAGAACCACCTGATGTACACGTCTACATAGTTAAGTCGCTCTCAACTATGATACTCTGCGCCTCCTATGGTATCAAATGACTAAGATAATCATCAAATATGACATCCATATTGTTGCGGTTAGAATATGATATCAAACTATTAATTAGTTTGAATCACATCTTTAGTTCACAACCGACCTTTGATTTATCCGAAGGAAAAGGTCAAAGAAAGGAAAAACCTAATTTTGCATCGTAAGCACAATGCGGGGAGAGATCTAGGTAAGAGGTTGGTTAAGCTTAGGGAAGATACTAGCACCCTAAACTTCTGTAGTACTCTACAGGAACCTTTTGTTTATGGTTTACTATTTGCTTTAATTATTTGCTTGAAGATATATTGTTAAGGGTTAGAGAGTGACAAAATGACCTAAGGGTTAGTCCTAAGTTTACTCGGCAAGATTCACATCTTGTGCCTACGTATCCTAGGTAGGGAATGGAATCAGAGTAATCATAGTTCCCCTCGAAAGGGAGGTTAGAAACTTCTTGACTGTGGTCAAAGTTTCATGGGGGGAGTAAGCGTTTCTTAAGGACGCGCTTACGTGGAGTACGATGACTCATATTTCTACGTTGAAATAGTTTGAATTGAAATTAGGGTTAACTAAACATTCCACGGCGGAAAACCCTAAAATGGAGTACGACGACTCTTTGATCTAATGCTAGGGTAAATGGCATTTTCGTCCACGACGGGACACCTAGGCTATTAGGGTTTGAATCATTCAAGGGGTAAGGCTATTGAATCGGCGGTCAAACGGTTTAGACCTAATCCTTCGGAAGTATGTTTGACGGTGAATAGTGTAACAGATGAATTATTATATGGCAGCATTAAAATACGAAAATAAAGAAAGCGGTAAAGCAAAAGCATCGTGACGATCACTCGCGTAAATTACAAATCTCAAAAATGCAAAAATAAATAACTGTGACGATTACTCGCATGATTACAACTGAAAAGTGACAACACAAGCAAATGATAGATTAATAAGCTGAAGCAAACGAGATAATGACGAGGGTTAGACAGACATTGAGACGCCTAAATCAAGATTTTATTTTTTGAATTTTATTTAAAAGAAAAGTTAATTTTTGCATTTAAAAGGAGAAATTGTTTTATTTTATGTTTTAAATTAAAAAAAATTGTTTTAATTTAATTAAAGAAAAATGTTTTAATTTTGACATTTGTGTTGAAGAAAAGTCGGTTTTAATTTTTGTTGTAATTAAAATCTTAATTTTAATGTTAAAAAAATGCTTTAATTTTTGAAGTTAAAAATATGTTTTAATTTTAATATAAAAAAATATTTTAATATTTCAAAGTGGATTTAAAATTAACCTTTTAGATTTAAATTAAGAAAAAAAATATTTTAAGTTATAAATTAATTCTTAATTATAAAAGAGGCTTAAATTAAAAAAAATGGAGTTGGATTAAAAAATGTTTGATTTACTAACTAAAATGTTATTCCTACTAACTAATTAAAAAAATGTGCTAACTAATTTATATCAATTTATAATACAAAAAAAAATAGTAAATAAAAAAAAACATAAAAAAAAGTAAAAAACGGATAGAACAAGTCAAATGGGCGGATGACTTCTTCATTGTTAGGGTTTTCTTTGGGAAACCCCTCTTCTTCTTCTCTCGGCGCCGTCGGCGGCCATTAGAACTCCATCGCGAGCTTTTCTTTTCCTTCGTTCTGCTTGTATGTCAACGTTCTTCTTTTTGTTCCACCTGAAAAATCATGAAAAAAGGAAAAAATGTGGTGAGATCCTTACGTTTCGGTTATGGTGCAAGGTTGATGTTGATTCACGTTTTGGCCGGTGACGGTTGAGAGATGTTGGGGTCCGTTCGATGACGATGATGAGAAGATTTCCCTTCTCTGAGTCTGCACCGCAGCTCCGACGGCGGCGTTGCCTCAGACCAGTTCTGACGGCAGTTTTACCTCGGTGACTGTCGCGGCGGCTTCCGTTCGTTGACGCTTTGGCTTTTCAAAAAACTTCTTCCTCTTCTTCTTCCGTGGCGATGATGATGGAGAAGCTTGGCTTCCAAATCTGAGCCGTTTTCGAACAATGATGATGGTGAGGAAAACTCCCGTCTAAGTTCGCGGTAGTGGCGTTAGTGGTTCGCGGTTCCGAAAGCTTCTTCCTCCTCTTCTTCTTTTGATACCCAGAAGTGATGATGAGGAAGCTCCAATGCTCTTCTGAACCTCTAAGTTTTGGTGGCCGCCAGTTTTATTCACTTAGGGTTCCCCCTCTGAACTCTTTCTTGAGATGATTTTATATGGTTTTGATTTATGGGCTTTGTTCTGAATTTGGCGGATTTGGTGGCTGTTATTTTGGCTTTTTTTTCAAGAACTTGGATGTTGAGTCTGCGAATTTCATGGATTCATTATTGACCTGCTTCATTTTGAGTTGTCGTGGCCTTAGGAAAAGTTGTTTTGATGCTGAGAAACGTGATTATTTGCATGTGGTTAGATCCGTTGGGTCTAGGGATGGCAAACAAACTCGGGCCCGTCCACACCCGCCCGGGCCTGCCTCGAAATTAACGGGGGAAATCCGATTTAATTGGGTGCGGATGCGGGTGCGGGTGAAACCCGGTTCTTAACTACGGGTGCGGGTGCGGGTGCGGGTGCGGGTAGACACTAAGACCCGCCCGCCCCTGCCCCGCCCCAAATAATATATTTTATTTTGATTTTCTTATTTTATTTATTTTAATATTTATTTATTAATTATACTTTTAATTAAGTTATTAATATTCTTATTGCAATTAAAATAATAAAATTAATCAAGTTAATATTCATTTATTAATTAAAATTTTAATTAAATAATTAATTAATTTATTAAAATAATCAATTTTTTAATTAAATTACTAATTTTTATTATAATTAAAAAAATAATAATTTTTTGCGGGTGGGGGCGGGGCGGGTGC